TTCTTGCGCTGGAGGTAGGTAAAGACCTGTGGAGCACAGGAAACCTGGTCCTCGGGGTAACTTTCATTAAAGGTATTTTCTTTGTTTTAGAGGGCTACAACAACTGGGCTGGACACATCGTATCGTTTCTTTGGGGAATGGATACATGCATCTTTAAGCCCACAAAAAACTATATCTGCCCTTTCAGTAACAGTTCATGTTATGTTCTCCAACGTTCATCTTAGCTGATGAAACAGCTACCAAAACATTTACTCTGCTTTAAAAAATCTAAACCTGGGATGCTTTAAGTACAGAAGTCGGCGACCATAACCTCAAAGTCAAATTCACAGGTACCAAGACTTATGTGGAGATTACATATTCCCTTTACCTGTAGCAAGGCGCCGTCTGCAAGAATGATGCTCTGGGTAATTGGAATAAGTTCATTATTACCTTGTTTTGCAATCTTTTTAAATATTTTATGGAAAATAATTGTCAAATTAGCTCCCGTGCTAACAAAAGATTACATGGTACCTCATTCATGGTTGCCCTTACAAAACAACAGCCTGAATTTCGACTCTGGTCTGTGTGAGGGAACTTGTAGCTGTTTCAGCACCTTGGACTTGGTTATATATTCTTTCATTTAGTTGTACATGATCGCTTAATTCAGTCTACTGTACTCAGGTGTTGCTTTGATCATCAGCCATCTTTTTCTTTGTAAAACAGTTCCTCTTGTCCCTGTTTTCTACAGTTTGGCAGTGGGGGACTTTTCCATTGAGTCACTATAGAGTTCTTTTCTCCTAATTTTGCTTCAGTGAATGCATCCATCTTAGGTTCTTTCTCTCTAAGCGCTGATCTCAGGACGTCTCTTAGTTCATCAAAATCACCCAGCACATTGCCTTTTGGATCTTTTGCCTTCTCATTTTCATCTGAAACTTCCCTGGCAAATCCAACGTCTTGGCTCCTTTGACGCCCAGTCCCCCAAAATGCACCAATTCTACTGCCATTGGTATGGCATGATTCCGAGATTTTGGTCTCGATTGATGAGTTCCTTACTTCTCGTCAAAATCTGTGAGATTGTCCACTGACTGATCTTTTGTTATCATCTCAGTCACCACAAATTTGCTGTGGGGTATAACAAATGAGTCAGTCTTTATATATACTCACTAAACTCGGGCAAGGTTTCCCATTGGTTTTTGAACTTTATTGCACGGTACAATTTTTTTTAGGTATCCAAGGACAAATCTTGATACCAGTGCATTTTCTACAATGATCTGCCTAATTTGAGTGATAATACTTTAAAAAGCAAAACTGTTCAATTCTATCCCCGATAGGCGAATAGTTTTGTAATTAAAAAAAATTCAGGCTATTTCTATAACCCATAACAACTGGGACTTGACATACCTGTTTTGGATTTGTACGGAAGATTCTATCATTGGAAAGACAGATGGTACACATGTAGAACAGACCCGCGGGATTTCTTGTCGCTTTCTCCCCCTCCCCACGTTGAGCACTACAGGCCTGTATAAAACTATTTGGATTGCTGTATATCAAATTATTTTGCGATACATTCTAAGATTTGGACCTGGATGCACAAAACTAATGCCGGTGAAGACCTATCTTTTAAAACCTAGTCGTTGAATTAAGTTTTTAATTCTTAGCTGTAAAGCTTTCTAATTTCTTTCTACTTTTTAAATTGCTTGTACCATAGAATGTTTAGTTTGCATATAAGGGTATATATATTAAATAGTACATTCGGATCTTGGATACGCTAATAAATCAATAAATATGATGTGCAGATTTTAAAGCTGAACATTACTTATAAAAAGGCACTGTCAAACAGGTACAGAATATAAACCCTTAGATTTCGTTACACCCGATTGCACACTTGAAACTCCTGGCCGACGTGTAGCATTTCTTTCGTGGTCTTAGATTTTGTGCGTTTATTCCTTGTTTTATGTGCATTTTCTGTTTGTAAATGATGTATTGACTTGTATATTTGATGTTACTTTTCTCCTGGCTCGGAAAAAGTGCGTAAAATTTGATAATTTCATCACGACCGAGTAACACGGCAATGTAAGATGTACGTCTTTATTCATCAGAACCTCTACAGCGAAATACCTTGAACTGTTAAGAGGTCTGCGGCTGATATAGGGGTTGTAGGGGATAGCAATAATGAACAAGAAATATGGCGGACAGTGCCTTTAACGAGTTGTGTTCAGCTTTAAGCGAGGTTTGCTAATTACTAATTAATGTTTTACTAATTAATAGATCATTATTTACACACTGAATTGTCGACGGATTTTTCCGTTATTTCCCGATCCTGACCAGGAGCACACGGCGGGTGTGACCGGTCGGCAGGGGATGCTCACTCCTCCATGGTACCTGATCCCACCTCTGATGTTTTGGAGGTCCGTGTTTGCTCTGCTCCTATTTTGTATTGTTTAATGGACTTGTGAGCTTGAATACTGCTTGTTATCTCCATATATTTCATTAAATGAAGTTTTACTACTACAAATTTTCAAACCTTTTCATGCAATTGTCTATTCTATTGGCACTTCAGGAATTTTAACTAGAATGCATGTACAGTATGATAATATAAGTAAAAAATATGCTATGTTTAATGAATGTTTTCAAAAAATTTCAATTTGATGGACATTATGTTTCAATTCACCCATTTATAAAGTAATTTTATTTTCATTCACAATTATCTTCCCTTAACCAATGGACACGTTTTGGAAGGTTTAATTAGAACTGGTTTGGTGGTTTTAGAAGTTTTATAAGCTGGCTGACATTATTGTGGCAGGTCACAGAATAGGAGAGAAAACTGTAAACTAGAAAAACTGACTAAAGTTTTTTTTACAGTTGAGCTGAAAAGGTAAAATTAATTAAAATTACCACTCACTTACTTTTTGACAAGGCAAGATGAAGTCAAAGTCGAAAAATCCAAAATAAAACTCCAAGTCCTTCCATTTTTATAACTGAATAATTTGAAAACGTACTGCTTAAAATGAAATCGAAGATGGACTAAAACTGGAATAAATCCTGAATATAGGTACTTTACCTTTTATGTTAACCAAAAGAAAAAAAAAAAATGAAACACCTTGATTAGACTCCCCATTTTTATTTTCAAAATACAAGATATCAATCTTCAGTCAATGTCAATTTATTCAAAAAAAAAAAAAAAAAAAAAAAAAAAAAAAAAAAAAAGAAAAAGAGACTTTGTTTGATATAAAATGTCATTGTTTAAGCCTTAACGCCTTTTGTGAATACTTTGATGTTTAAGTAATAAACGCATTGGGTGATAATAATTAAACTATAACGAATTGTTAGAATGGAATGTGCAAGATGTTGGTTTACATTTTCAGAAACACTACTATTTGTATTTGAAAATGTTTTTATGAATAGCTATTAGGGACTCCCATATTTTTCATTTTCTAAAATTTTCTAAATATTATCATGACTTATGTGTTGCTAGAGCAATTCACCCCGAAATATATTAAACGCGTGTTTAAAAACTTCTTTTTTCTGGAAATTATTAAAACTACGAATTTGGGGTTCCGTTTGATTGACATATATCCTTATACTTTCACAGAGTAATCTTTATCCATAACTCCTGAGAAAAGTAGTAGTAGAAATTTTATTGTGTATGAGAAATATCAAAACTATAATCTAGGAAGTTCAGAGTAGAAATGCGAAAAGGAAAAACCAACTCACCAGTATTGTCAGTCTGAGCTCAGTGATTTGTTCAGACTAAACAACTTGAACACACCCGGTAAAACGTAAACATTAACAATAACTTAAAACATTGCTGTGAAGTCATGCCTTTGTTCTTGCAGTCTAAAAATTTACCTGTAGCCGTCCGATAATAATAATTAGCAGTCCAATAATATATTATCGGACGGCAGTGATAACAAAATCGGACAGTAGTTAAAAAACAACAACTCGATTGAAATCAAGGTTTAATATGTCCAGAAACCAAAGAAAAAAAAAGTTAGGGAAAAAAAATCAGGGAAAGCGAACGCTAGGAAATTAAGTTGTTAAAAATACCAAATCCAAGAAGAAACTGGAGTTTTAACCTTCCTCAAAAGTAACACTTTCCATTCGGTGTTTTGCAAAGCGTTTTCGATACAGCACTGTGAATAAGCCAATTTAAATCCATTTCTGATAAAGAGCCAGTCTGCGAATCTCTTCATTTAACGAGGTTTGTTCGCCAATGACCGCACTTTTAAAACCTAAGATTTTCATTATATCATCCAATCAAAATTTTAGACAAAAATCCGCATTTTTACTTTAAATGCATTTTGAAGATATCCTCCAACACTGTATCTGTATCAGTGTCAAACGCACTTAATAAAAAAAATATTCCGAATCATAAAAAATCCTTCATCACCTGACCACTGTCCATATATAGTTTCTGCTAAGCCAAACGACTGCCACTGAATGAATGAAACAAAAGAGTTCACTCACTGATTTTACTGTCTAAAGAAAAAAAACTTTCTCTTTTCTTTTGTCTACTTATTAGATGGTTTCAGGTAGAAAACTATTGATGCCTGAACTCCTATTGTGTAATTATCGGACTCCTCCAGGTAACTTTTGGACATTTAAATAACAATGTTTTAAGTAAGATATATGCCTCATACAATTCTATATGTAAAATTATCAGACTGTTTTCGGCCCTAACGGGCCTCAAACAGTCTGATAATTTTACATATAGAACAGTATTCGGCATATATCCATTACAGAGCTCGTGCCCTGTTTACAAACACAGGTATTTGACGTGATTTTATGAAGAATATCGTTGTTATTGAATTCTTAGAATATTCATATAAGTTCAAATCATTAAGCTGAAGTACCGAATAAAATAGACATTTAAAATAGTGAACAATGTAACTGTGTCCAGGCCCCTTTAAGCAAAATTCAACATTTACGCTACAATATAAAATTTAATAATATTTTCAACACTTAATGATTCCGTTGAAAACGTAGTAATAAAGAGATACCAGTAATCAACAACACAACACTACAAAAATATTTTTATTCATGGTTTGAATCAATAAACATCATACATAGGGCCTTATGTAACAGACAACATAAAGAATAATACAGGGTAACTATTCAATAGTTTGTAGAGAAGAGAACATATTATTATCCCTCAGTCATAGTTAGATTAAAATTCCCTCACTGAATAAGCAGAAAGATAGTTTATATCATGGAGATGTCTCTTTTAGTGTGTTCGTGATAGCACCAATATTTCAACAGGAATGAAGCCATATTCCTTACTGTTAAGGCTGAAAATAAAAACAATTTAAATTTAAAGGGTTTTTAATCAAAAATGATCAGATTAAAATTACTTTTAACATATTGTCAAATTGAAAGAGATGGAATAAGGCTATAAAAAGTTTCTCTTTTTTATAATGGAAAAACCAAAAATGTCCTTATCTTTTCACGTCATTATATTTTGCTAGCTATAAGACTGTAGTCAGTTAATATAATTTACCTTAGCAGTACAGAAGCATTCTGTTCCACACACATCACAAACTCCTGAATCCGCCAAAATTCTAGATGTGTAGAATGTGGTAGCTTGGTTTTCTATTAAAAAAAGAGGTCCAAAAATAATGAAATATATCAAACTAGGCACTAGTTATTTATGATAAGTTACATTTTGTACTATTTAAGGAATGAATATAATAGCTACCCATTTTATACGGTATAAACTAGATTGGGGCAGTTTACGCTTTATAAACCGCTAAGCGGGTAATAAATAAGCGTAAACAGTTCCAACCCAGTTATACCATATAAAATGGGTAGCTATTAAATTCATCCCTTATAATTTAATTTTAATTCATTTGGTGTAAAAAGAAAGATGATTGCCCTTAAAATGTGACTTCAATTTGTACAAAATTTGAATGCAACGTCAGGCGAATCGATACGTTTTTGACGCGTCATTGTGACGTAGGCAACCCAATTTATACAATATAAAGTAATTTTTTTATCCAATCAAATATCGCGTTACAACCAGAATTGAAATATTCAGAAATATTTTTATAAACTGCATATTTTAGAGAAAATTCATTAGCTATATAATGAAAGAAGAAATTTATCAACTACATGTTAAGAACACTACTTACTGGGTTCATAATAATCATAGAGTCTAATGACAGAGGGCTGCTTCTCTGCTACTTTATCTGTGTTGGCCATATATACAGAGGCACACTGGGCTTGTTGGTCAAACTAGATTGTAATAAAATGTGTATTTAATTCTTCAAATTTATTTTTACAAAATTTAAATCAACAGCATTTTTGGTGAAATTTGACAAGAAATGCCAGACACATACCTCATCAAAATATAAGGATAATTTCCTATATCCCATCTCATTACGTTTATACATGGGAGCCTTAGATGTATCGAGTGTATCCAAATCAGGGGTCATTCCAGAGGGTATTCCGATATCCATCATAGACATTCCAGAATTACCTTCTTTCAACCATCTTGAAAAAAAAATAATGCAAATATTAGATAGACAATAGTTTTGTTGACTAAGGGGGTACTTAAGTCCTTCTTTATCTAAAGCTAAAACGAATGATACCTTCCACAAACTTTCACCGTGAACCCTTTAGTTGTTTCATCAGTAAGCGTCACATTGACATCAAAGGAAGACACTTCTATTTCTTCATCAGTATTGAAATAAGTAGAGATCTGCAAAATTATTAATCATTAAATCACAAATAGGAACCCAGTACATATTACAGTTTATTTCAGTGTTAATGTTTCTACTGTTGAAATATTTTCTCTACCTCTGCAAGGGCTATACCCGATCCTTCACCTTTGACTTCAAGCCTTTTAACGTCCACAGGAATCTGAGAAAACAACATTATCTAATATATCAATTACAACGAGAATGTTATTAATGATACTTCTGTTACAGAATTAATTATGTTGAAAATTAAAAATAAAATAATATAAACGAATAAAAATTAAGCTTATCTTGCATAACAATACCAATAAAAAAATATTATTGCGATTACACTTTCATATTAAAATTTTTATGTTGAGAATAGTTTTGAATATATGCGACTACATACGTCTGCTGTTTGGAGAACAAGTGCATTGTTCTGGGTAATTGTGAATTTCTGATTGAATGGTACACCTGGAGTTTTGCTGGTCAGCGTCACACGCATGTTGAAATTTGGACTATAAACCATAGTAGCAAATTCTGCCAATCCTTGGAGAGCAATAATAGTGTCCTACAAAACGAAGTATCATCCAGAAAAAGTAATTTTGTTCACCTGATTTTACTTTTACTGTATTCCTAAACTTAACAAAAATCCATGCAAACAAAGATACCTAACGGGTTCTGTAAAACAACACATTCAAAAGTTGTGGTTATCAAATGTGGATATTTAAAAACTCCAAGAAACCTTTAGAAAACTTGAAAAACACAAAATTATAACAAAATCAATAGCATCAAAACATTTGACTTTTCAACCCTTTATAAGACCATTTAATTAATTTAATAAATTGATAAAACAAGGATGTCAAAAATCTCATTTAAAGTCAACATTTCGAAAATTATATGGGTGATACAGTGATTTTATTAGCAAATACCATGGTCAAATGTTGACTGACGTCTTTTATTCAAATTGTTAAGACATTATTTTCTCACTGAATTTGAAGGGTTTTTTTTTGTTTACTAGATCTTAACAAGGGGCACATGGTGGGTGTGACCAGCCATAGGGGATGCTTACTTCTCCATGTCACCTGATCCCTTCCCCCTTCTGTTTTCAGAGGACCATATTGGCTCTGTCCACAATTTAAATTGCTTAAATGGACTTTTAAGCTTGATCATTTTTATTTACCTTCACATTTCATTAAAAGATAAATAGTTTTGTATATATGTTCAAAAATGCCTTCAAGTTCCACATCCTAAAATAGTCAACAATGTTGACTACTTTGCAAGTAAAGCAATAGAAAAACCAACCTGCGTTGAAGCAAATCCTCCTTCAGGGTTTCGCTGGGAGGTGATCCATTTGAGAACAGGTAACCCTCCTTCTAAATCTTTATTTATAGCTAGACCCAAAAGAGCATATGCTGTGGTTTCTATGTCAACAGCCTTTGCCTGGTCTTTAGGAGGAGACCATCCCTTCCATTGAATGCCGGTCTCTGGTTTTGACCAATATTTAAGTCCATCTAATGTAATATTAGTGAAAGAAACTTCTAATATTTATTTGTAGAAACTCTTTTGTTGAAAATGTGAGGTGAAGGACATAACAATTGCATACCTTTCATGGTAGCCTTAGCATTGAGTTTGTTGATAACTTCATTGACTCGGGGGCTGTTAGTGATCTGGAGGGCATATCCAACGAGGGCTAATTCGTAGATATCTTCTAAAAGATCTATATCACCTTCCAAGTACGTCCTGGCTTTCTGTATTGCCCTTCCTGTCAGCTCAGACACCTACACACAGAAAAGGAATCAACGTAAATGATAGTTCATAATACCTTGCATGTATTATTTAAAAATGATTGTAACAATCTTGTGAAGGATATCAAAAATATTGTAAAAGTTAGAAAAAAGAAATATATATATATATATATATATATATATATATATATATATATATATATATATATATATATATATATATATATATATATATATATATATATATATATATATATATTTATATATATTATAAAAAAGGATTAGTTAACTTACTCCTGGAACGACCTCAGCTTCCTTGAGAGCGATCAGAGTAAAAGCCGTGAGGGCTCTTTCCCCTCCAGCTGAACCTCCCTGGATATGAAATAAAAAGTATTTGTTTTATCCAATCAAATGGCACGTTACAATCAGAGGTAAATAATTTAAATTATGAAATAAATATGAATCATTATTTAAGGAATCATGCCAAGGATTTGGTCTGGTGTTTCTTTATTGAATAGAAATAGCATAGACAAAAGAAGTCTAACGTTCTTACTCTGTCTTTATTTGATATTCGCTGATCTTTTAAAACTGAAAAGAATTTATCTGCCATAGGATTGCTTTTAGATGTTTTAATTCATTAATGTACCTGCATTTCCTTGTGTAAAACTCTGCCTGGTTCTCTGAATGTTCCATTTTCGTTCTGTTGAGATACAAGCCAAGTCACGGCTTTCTTTACGACATTCTCGTCAATGGTGATGAAATCAGAAGCCTGAGAGAACGACTTCACAACAAAAGCAGTCAACCTGGAACATCATTGCTAAAAATTAATCCTGTACATATGTATATATATTTGTAAAACTAATTCTTCAAGAAAAATATCTTGTTTGTAGTATCTTACCAGGTTGTGCCTGACTTGTCACTTTTACCAAAAGCACTGTATGAACCGTCTTCATGGGAGTACGTCATTTCCCGCTGGTAACCTGAGAAACGGAAATCAACAAAATGTGTAATCTTTAAACGCTTGAAAATATCTTGAATACTGATGAATATTCAACATTGATTTGTAAAACAGACGACATTTTATAATCGTACCCTTAATCATGTATTCTTTAGCTTTCTTTTCTAGGTCTGGAGTTAGATTATTAGTGATTGTAAGGTATTTCTGCACAAAGATATTTGGAGCAAAGTTCAGCATGTTTTGTTCTCCACATCCATACGGCATCTTCAACAGGGAGTCTAGTCCACTGATTGATGGACCCATCACATCACCTGAACGGAATGAAAGTTGGATGTAGAAAGATATGCAACGATAAAAACGGTTTTCCTTATTATACGTCTAGAAAAGGTAATTTTTCCTCAAAGGAAAGGTTTCAATTTGTGAAAATTGAAAATAGTAAAAGGCAGAAAGAAAAATATTTAGCTAATAAAGTCAAATATCTTACGGTTTATTAATGAAATGCATTGTTTGAGAGCAAATATTCATATATAGAACCCTACCAATAACTGAGGCTCTGACACGCCGTGAACCAGCCACAGTGTTGGGTGGAAATGATATCGCAGCATCTTCTGTAAACGTCCCAGTATTACCAGTATTGATCAACACAGGGTTATTAAACTCTTTCTCCACTCCCTCGGGCTAAATGACACAATTGTCATATCAACTCATATTAAAAAGAAGAATAGAAACTTTGGTAACTTTCTCTAAGTTTTGTAAGAGAAGAACATATGTAGATAATGAGGTAAAAGTGAAAAGCTGACCTCCACTTTAAGATATCTGATGACAGCATCACTAGGACCTGTAGAAATGACGGTGATATTGATCTTAAGATCCCCAGTCTCTGTGGGAATGATAGGGAAATACACAGGGTAGATCTCACCAGCTGTCATCTAAAACATATGTAGTTTCTATTAACAAAATGTCTACAATCAGAAAGCGCCTTTGTATGTCATCTCTGTGATAAGATGCAGTGATATCAGAGGTTTTTTAAGGAATTCTAAAAGATTATTAAAAAACATTGTAAAGACATCCCAGCTGGGTGTCTCAAAAATTCTATTCTGAATATATATATATATATGAAAAAAGTGAAGATAATGAACAGTGATCGATCTCAAAAACATCTACAAACAATAGGAATCTGCGAACAGGGCATTAAACACGGACCCCCGGAAATTCAAAAAGCGGGATCAGGTGCTTAGCTGGAGTAAGCATCCATTTTTGTCCGGTCACACCCGCCGTGAGCACTATGTATTGATCTGGTAGATGGAACATTCCGTAGTCAAATTTAATATAAAAGGAAATGCCTAACTATTTATTTGAAACACATCAGTCAAAATACGACCCAGTGATAGGTTATATTTGCAAAAAAGGTCATCATAACGACCATAGAAAATAAGAAATTCCGAAGTTGTTGAAATCCAAGTAACATCAACTTATCTGTCAGTTATTTGAATTGATCGATACTTGTGATTGTAAACCGTGTTGTGATTGCGTATATGGATAAATTTTGGTAGTGTTGATAAGTAATAAGACTCACGTTGAAAGTACGGCCCACTCTGGCTGAGAATCTGCCTTTCTTGACCTGATTGTCCTGTATATAGGTCACCAGGTTCTTGAAGCTTTCATTTTTATCAATGATGACGAGAACCTTAAAAGGAAAGTTAACAATGTTGATTAACTCATAGCTATAATATAAAAATGAATTGTAATAAAACGAAAGCTAAAATATAATAAAGAATATTTTTTGAAAATTGTCGAAAGTGGATAATGGTATAAGATCATGCCTACCCTAACATCACGTTCCAGGTAATTGAAGACATTGGCCTGGAGGACCACTAGTTCCCCTCGTGTTACAGAGTAAGGCATGGTCAAACTCACAAAGAATGGCTGGAATACCTTAAGCTGCAACAAGATAAATATATAAATAAATGAGTAAAAAAGAAAATAAAATTTTGTTTTTAAATGTCCCTGCATATACTTCACTACAATGATATTTTTCAATGTGGCTGCACATACTTAATCTCCTTAATATTATAAAAATGCTATTGAAATAGTTTTTTCTTGAAACCAAAAATATTCAGGGATTATGCAGATATTAGGATTTCAGGAAAGTATAGGCATTATAAATGTATAAATCACGCTCTTTTGATGTCTACACAAAGAATATTTGAAACCAATGTATTGTTCTATACTTAAAGCTAAAAAAAAAAAACTAGTGTTATTACTTACATTAGCTGGACTCGGAGTTAGACCCAATCCAGAGTTAGGGTTGACAGCAAAAGCTGTAGCGACCCAAGTAGTAATAGTATCCGGTACAGGAACACTGAGTGACGTGATACCGTCCGCGCTGTAAAATAAAAACATAATTCTCAGCTTTAGGATAGAGAAATATAGCGGGTGTTCGAGAAGTTATAAAAATCTCTGACAATATCTCTAGCGTCTAAACTTCTTATCAATTTATTTAAAAAGAAATTAAAAGAAAAAGACTGAACTTTTCCCCTAAAATATTAGAACCTAAATTTTGTCTGTCCCACTCAAAAATACACACAGCGCATCAATATTTTTATTTGATAAAAAAAATCCTTAAAATTTATTAGGTGTTGAGCTTAATGTTACAATGGAAAGAACTGCCTTTAAAACAATTAAATAAACCAGCAAGTGCTTACTGCAACCCCTAGAGTTACAAGACTTAACATAAAAGTTGGGGTCTTGGTCTAAAGGGTCTATATCAGGACACTGGCGATTTATTACGTACCCTGTGGTTTTATTAAACCAAAGCCAGGTTTCTGGAAATAGCTTTCGAACACGTATTTGTGGTTCTGATGACGACATTTCCGCACTACTTGTTTTAACTCTTTGATTTTCAACAGGAGCAGCCATGAAGGCAATTGGTGCATTGTCTTCCATTACCATATCATAGAAATATGGTTGTACCCCTGCAACATACTTGGTTTAACTGTGGAGCCACATAACGCTACTGAGTATAGTTTTCATGCACGCTACTCATGCAGATACCCAGGCACTCCATAACAAATCATGCTTATGTACGATATCACTTCTCATTCATTCATTTGTAAGAGAATATTAGTAATGGTTGTTTTACAAAAACATATTGTTATATAAAATTTATAATAAAGTATGATAAACTTTTTTCGCTATTAGGATTGGAGCCCATGTAAAATCAGTTTTCTATAAAATCTCTATTATTTTGAATTCCGAATGAAATAATGGACAATATGCCGGGTTTAAACAGACATCAGCATACTGAAGAGGATAAGTTTTTTTTCCTTGGGATGCTTGATTACAGAGTATTTCTTTTACCATTAAAAATATGCCTTATCAGTCTTCGGTAGAGTGACTGATTTACTTACTTATATTACCCATTCTATCTGTTTGTATACTGTTCCAGATAAAATGCACAGAAACAAATCCTATTTACTAGTAAATGACGATTAAAACACAAGCCGATTTTATCCATAAAAATAAAGAATAATCAATTTAAACAAAAACAATCAACTTTAAGTCACTTGCAACGCACTTTTAAGTTAATGCTCGAATAGCCTAGTTTTGTCCTACGAAAAAATCGTATTACATTTCTATCAAAAGTAATTGTAAAATATTTTACAGACTAAGTCCGCAAAAAAAAGAAATGTCTATGAGAAAGGAGCTTCTCAAGTCCAGAAACATATATCTGCTTTGTAAAGAGAGGTCAATAAAAAGACCATTTCCACTTCAAAATGTCCAATGAAATTAATGGAAAATAACACACAATTCTACTGTGTAGGGTTTGTCATTCTATTTGAAAAATGTTGGCCTTCCCAATTTCAAAAAAATATTTTGTGATAAAACCAATCCTTTCTTCCTGTGTTTTTATCTGATTCTGACATGTGGAGTAAATTAATCCACTTTACATTGTATCGCTAGATCTTCCTACCCTGTATTGGTTGTATTCCATAACCAGGTTTCTGGGAAGAATGTGCGGACTCGGTATCTATTATTGTTAGGCACTGGTTCCGCTCCGCTATCAGCACTATCAAAGTCTACTGCTTCCCTCATTTCAAACTCTACGTTCTCCTTGAAATATGCCACCCCTTACATGACAATGAATTATAAACTAACTATTAGATAATTCATTTTTACGAAGAATTTGACATTCCAACATGGATTCCTTATATGAATTAAAGCTTGCATTGCAAAGCAATCACATACAAGGTTAGTACATATCAGGAAAATAATGAATTACACGGTAAACTTTGGTTTACGAGACATTTTTCGAATTTATCATTCAGTCTTACATTTCTGACCTTGTTTTCTAGGGCAGAGTGTGAGATAGAAAAGAAAAAAACCAAAATACTTTATACATACATCTGTAATTGTTAAGCCAGATGTCTGTAGCTTTTTCCGTAGGTATTTATAATACAATATTTTGGTAGTCCTATTATTAAACGTTTCCGGAAGGAATATGCAAACTCTTTAGATATTATTTTAAAATTCTTGTTCATTTTTTTTTTATTATTTTAGGCTAATTCCGTGTATCAAAAATGTGTCCATTAACCGCAGTTTGTAATCTGGATTATATTTGTGTACAGTGTATATGTGTACGTAAATGACTAAATAGCTTTTCTGTTTGTTCCCGTTTTGAAATAAAGTATCCAACATGTACTTCCATCATGGCGCAGTAATAATTCTTAGGTTTAGAAAAATACATTATTCAAACGCAGTTTATTCAAATTTCCACACCCAGACTTCTAACTTGAAAATCTTTTTCATATATGTTATAGCAAAAGGGCTTTATGAGTTAAGAATATCCTTAGTGAATATCGAAAAATTACCCTAACCTACCCTAAGGTTGAGTTACTCCACAACCAAGTCTCAGGAAAAACTGATCGAACACGTGGTGCTGAGGATTGGTTTGGTTGACCAGGTGGCGGCGGTGAATCCAGGGCAGATTTAAAAGATTTATTTTTACGAAACACCATTCCGCCAAATCCACCAAATGCCATCTGGTTACGCATTCGAACATTAGTAAAGTCCCCTTTAATGAAAGACATTTATTTGTTACGATTTCGCTTTATTTCCCGATGATTAAAATTGAAAGCAAAATTTAAATCGAGAAATGGGAAAATCGGTAGAAAAGAGTGTTTACGTTGACATTCCAAACATGATTGCATATCATCAAAAAAAAAAAAAATAAATAAAAATAATAAAAAAATAAAGAGATAAAGACAGACAAGCTCCATCAAGTTAAAAAGCATGTAGTCCGATAGCATACTATTACCAAAAGAGCTTAAAAGAATAGTTTAGTTGAAAACGTTTTGAAATTTATTTTAAATCCTATGAAAATAACAAATATCTTTTAAAACTTGTGGCCATGTTAAGTAATTTAATAAAAATATCTTCTCAGGGACACAACATGCGTAGCAATAATAAAGTTGTTTTAGATCTATAAAAAAAAATCTTGCTTGGATAAACTAACACAAAGGATGGCGGAGTAAATCCTTTCCATCATAATCACATAAATAGCTAGTAAATATTAAACTAATAAGTCGTTAAGTAGACCTTGTTAGCAAATAGAACCTATCATTTGGGTCCGTATATATATATATATATATATATATATATATATATATATATATATATATATATATATATATATATATATATATATATATATATCTCAAAACAGAGCACACAGCTTAAAACTCACATCTTAAATCATTTTTTTAAAGAAATGGTATCCTTATTTACCTATATTGTGTTATTTTCCTAACTACATGTAGGTCACTTTTGTAAAAATAATTTAATATATTGTTGTTGAGATAACTGAAGTATAAGAAGGGTGAGACGTCGTGAACTAAAACCTTAAAGACCAAATTTCTTTAAAATAACTAAAAAAAAAATAAAATAAAAATAAAAAAGAAAGAAAGAAACAATAAACTTAAGCTTAAAATGAAAGAAAACTTAAGGATTCATAGAATTTGATTCTTCAGCTTATGTAATAAGACAATACAGACCACTGCCGCAAACGAAAATCAGTTTATACTTCTAGTAATTCAGAAAAACAAGTCGATATATAAGTGAAAATCATATACTGAAACGCAAAAGAAACACAACAAGCAGTAATCTATAAATATTTGAACCTTTTAACTAATGATTTTCAAAACTGATTATAGTTGAGTGAGACTCGATTTAAAAACATCAGAGATTTGATAACGATGTTAAATGATTATCTTTTAACTTTAGAAAGTAACACATGGCTGTTAAAACACCCCTCTTCTCAACCATTCAATTATAGCGTGGAAGACTGCAATGCACAACAATTGCAGCTTGATTTCCACGATGCAATAGGTTCATCAATCTCGAGATCTGAGCGAAAAAAGTATTCTTTGCCATTTTTAAATGTCTGTTTTTCAGATGACGAAGTCGAATTTTCTCTAACCTAGCGCAGTGTAGTAACACTTGGACTTCCGGTCCACGGACTACCATTCATGCTAATGATACGTATGAGCCTGTTGAAGCGTGTTGTTGTGCATTTTTGCATCTGCAATTCTCCATCATTTTTATTTTCAGTTTTTCTAGCTAGAGCATTTGAAATGCGTACTTAAATCATTTTTCAGGAAGCCTTGGCAACTTTTCCGGAAACGAAAGAAGAATTTATTTTGCGGAATATTGCTGCATCACTTATGATAAACAGATATAAACCCTTAAAACCCCATATTTTTGTCAAATGTTTTGTTAAACATGCAATTTTTGATTTCTGTTAAGCGGGCTCAAACTTAACTTCCGGTTATGGCATGAAAATCATTCAACAGTTAAATTTTCGATACTTACAAAGTCGAAGATATCCGTACTTTTTAGATACAAAATTATATCCTCTATATAATTTCCCCTCTAAAATAGGATGTTGCGTTTCTTTTGCGTTTCAGTATATTTTCAAGTATAAAAGATTCGAGCGCTTTATTCCCTCCTTTACGAGAATGAACACAAGCAGAGAGACACAACAGAGGAGACAGTATGATTACAAGTCATAAAGAGGAGACGGATATATTGAACCGAATGACTAACAAAGATTGTCGACCAACTTCTTGTCTATAATCTGACAAAAGAATGTTGTACCTAACAGCATCATCTGCAAATACTACGACGATGCGGTTCTTGTACAGGAGCAGGTTCTTATAGAGCAACGGGTTCTTATACAGCAGCATCTCAACCAATGATATTGGTTGAGATATCATTTTCAGGAGAAACAAAAGCCAACTAACACCGAAAGAGAAAGAAAATATAAGGATTTCTAGAAGTGAATTTCTGTAAAGTTATAAAAATCAGATTTTAAAAACACTTAACTCA